AGTGGGTTTTTTTTATTATTTTAATTTATTCTTCTTCTGCAGAGCAACCCGAAAGCTGTTCCCACAGCAGAAGGCACTGTGTTTGCACAGCGGACAGCTCAGAGTGAAGCCTAAATCAAGTCGCAAAACTCGTGATTGGCAAGCGATGTGTGAAATAACTTAGCAGAGATTCCTGCATTGCAGGGGGTTGGACTAGACAGCCATTGGGGTCCCTTCCAACTATACAATTCCATGATTCCATGACTCTTACACAGGTCAACAAGAGCCTGGAATGGTCCCTAAAGGGCTGCAGAGATTCTCAGCCTGGGACCCAGAAAGGTGCTGAGCAGCGCTGAATTATCCAATTAGCAGACTAAGCAAGTGCTTAAGGCACCAGCAAAGGGCACAATGAAAGAAAATAGGTTTTTTTGGTTAAAGAATTTGATTAAAAAAAGATAAAAAGTACTGAGGCATTTGGGTAGGACCCAACCCAATGGATTCAAATTACGAGAGAAGAGATTCCAACTAAACATTAGGAATCACTTTCTGAGGGTAAGAGCTGCTTGAAAGAAGAAGAGGAGGAGTTTGGATTTGATATCCCGCTTTATCACTACCCAAAGGAGTCTCAAAGCGGCTAACATTCTCCTTTCTCTTCCTCCCCCACAACAAACACTCTGTGAAGTGAGTGGGGCTGAGAGACTTCAGAGAAGTGTGACTGGCCCAAGGTCACCCAGCAGCTGCATGTGGAGGAGAGGGGAAGCGAACCCAGTTCACCAGATTACGAGACTACCACTCTTAACCACTACACCACACTGGCAAGTGTGTTGGACAAGGGGTTGAACTATATGACCCTACAACTCTACAATTCTAAGATCAAAGTAGTCTGCATGGGATAAATCAGAACTTACACTCTACACTCTTTCCCCATGCTTATTGTCTTTTCCAATTACTTATCCCCAGCTCAATCAGGAGACATCCTACTAATGTAGATCAAAATCATAGGAGGACATCAGATCCTGCCATGTGTTGCACATGGCAACATGTCGATTTGGGCATGCATGTAAATTTTGTGTCATTTGGGGGGGACCCATTGTTTAGGGTTTAGTCTTTTTATTTTGCACCATATATGGGGGTACCATGATCTTTTCAGCGCTTACGCTGGCCTCCAAAGGTCTGGCCCTGGAGTTGAGGAAGGGATGTTGAGTTGGATGAAGAGGGTTGTAGCACCAACAGAGACAGAGACATGAGAGGCTCCTTCATGGCGACTCCAGGGAGTTCTTTAATCCAGGGACAGGCAATGTGACACCTTCCAAATGAGTCCAACTCCTATCAGCCCCAGCCAGCATGACCAATGGATAGGGATGATGGGAGTTGTAGTCCAGCAACACTTGGGAGGGTACCACTTGGCTGGTCCAGGCCTCGCACTCCAACTTGGCTTTGATGGGTTTTTACCTTGCAGTCTCCCCTGGGGTTTCTGCCATGGGAGGGCCATGGCTCCGTGGCAGCGCCCGCACCTAGCCTTCAAAATACAGTGGTACCTCGGGTTACATACGCTTCAGGTTACAGACTCCGCTAACCCAGAAATAGTACCTCGGGTTAAGAACTTTGCTTCAGGATGAGAACAGAAATTGTGCTCCAGTGGCGGGGCGGCAGCTAAAGTGGTGCTTCAGGTTAAGAACAGTTTCAGGTTAAGAACGGACCTCTGGGACGAATTTAGTACTTATGGCAAGAGGGACCAGCGTGATGATGCAACAGAAGGGACGCTACTTGCTTCGTGTAAGGGACTTGAACACCGTTTGCTTCAACTGCAGAGAAACACAGCATATTGCCTTACACTGAGTCAGACTACTGGTCCTTCTAGCTCAGTACAGTCGGCACTAACTGGCAGCAGCTCTTAAGGGTTTCAGGCAGGGGGCAACCTGAACCACAGCCCTTCCAAGAGGAACAAGTATCTGAGCAGAAAGTGGTAACTGGATGGGAGATCCTTCTTACCAGAGTAGCGTAAAAGGACCTCGCTTTCTGCAACCCATCTGGCTGCACTTGGAAATTATGGAGCAAGTAGAACAGAAAAGGCATCGTTTAAGAACATAAGGAGAGCCTGCTGGATCCGGCCAATGGCCCAGCATCCTGTCCTCACAGTGGCCAGCCGGATACCCATTCTGGGAACCCCACAAGCAGGACCGGAGTCCAAGCACCCTCCCCTCCTGTGGTTTTGGGCAACTGGTATTCAACAACATTTCTGCCTTCAACCCTGGAGCCAGATCGTAGCCGTGGTGGCTAGCACCCCTCTCTCCTCCTCGAGGGTCGCTTCTTGAATTGCAGCATTCCAAAGAGGAGTGCTGTGTGTGCCCTCTCCGTCAAATAGGTTGCTATAAACAAGCAGCTGGGATTAGCATCTCCACGGAGCGCCTTGGAAGTTCAGGATTTGGTAATGTGTTTCAGATGCTGCGTTAAAGCCTTCATTAAAAGGGGATTTGGTGGACTCGCTCATGGAAGTGGTAGGGGTGGGGGGTTTGCAGGGAGGGAGAGAAATGCTGCCTTTTGTAATTAAATTTTTTTCTAAGGCTGGACCAAGGTTGGGGGATGGGGGGGGGAAAGAGGGAGGGAGGCTGCAGAACCAGTCAGGCAAAAGAGGGTGACATTCTTGATAGTTGATGACCCAGAACAGGAAGCATGGGGGTGTGGGAGGGGAAGAGAGAGAGAGCGCACTAATTGTTTAAAATGAGAGCGCGGGGAAATACAAATGCTGGTAATGCTAGACCCAAGTTCACCTACCAGTTCAGCGGCGTTTATCCAGCACAGCTGCTGTCCAGCATAGCCTGCTTCATTAGCTATCGCAAGAAAATACAAGTGCTGGGTTTTCTGGGCTCACCTACCAATTTTGTAGCACTTTCCGCACAGCTCCTGCCTTGCAAAGGCTGCTTCCTTGGCTACAATGTCAAAATGCAGTTGCCAGCAGTGCTGGCATCTGTGAACTCGCTTGCTCCAAAGCAAGAAACATACACAAAAATCCAACGGCCAGGGAGAAAGCTTGGCTCTAAGCCCCTCCTTCATTGGTTCTTGTTTTCATTTTCAATTGTCTCATTGTTACCCAAATGAGCACCACAGTACAAAAAAAAGCAAACTGGCAAAAAAAAACACCCCAAACCATTGTGTTGTCTGTATAGTCATACCTTTGGTTACAGATGCTTCAGGTTGTGTTTTTTCGGATTACGGACCCGCTGAAACCCGGAAATACCGGAACAGGTTACTTCGTAGAAGTGCCAAATCTTGCTTTGCGCACCAAAGTGCCAAATCTTGCTTTGCGCACCAAAGTGCCAAATCTTGCTTTGCGCACCAAATTGCAACCTGCACGTGCACAGATACGCCACTGCGGGTTGTGAACGTACATCCCACACTGATCACGTTCGCAACCCGAACGTCCACTGTATAGGCTTTTCTCATGTAGAAATCTGCTTCCCTACGAAGCTGGCTCAATAGAAATATTTGCAGTTTCTTTGAATGGAGATAATGTAAGGCCCCCCGCAGGGACCCTGAAATCATAGAGGCGAGTCCTCCAAGAAACGTCTAGACCAGTCCCTGCCCAAAGGAACATGCCCTCCTGAAACCCCACTCCACATGCAAATCTATGCAAAAGCACTTACAGAGGAAAGGGCTGGATTCCCCACATCCCAGAATCCTTGGTAATTTTTTTATCTTGGCAAAACTCCGTATTGGGGGGAGTCATTCAGAAGTTCATCACACCGAAAAGAAAACTACCCTGCAGTGTCTTTTATCCAGGACTGTTGTCCCTTTCCTGCCGTTGTGCAATTTTGCCCTGACTGGTCAGTTGAGCTCCTTGGGAGTCTTGCATTTAAAAAGAGAGAGAAGAGAGATATGTAGTCCTTAAGGCTGAAAGACTAAGCTAGTGTGTGTGTGCATGTAAAAAGCTGCAGATGGCAGGAAGCTCAGAGTGCCTAACAGATCTTGCTGCCTTTCCCCACAGCCATCAAAGGCAGAATTAACTATGCACAATGCTGAAAGATATGCTGATTGGCTTCATATTATGGCTTTCCCCCACTGCTCCTGTGGTTCTTTGGCTGGTTCAAAGGCTGGTTCTTTAGCTGTGGTGACAAAAGTGAAAATTTGTGCTGTAAGTCCTCTTAAGTCACTTGAGAACAAACACTTGGGGAGAGGCTCATTTTGGCACATTTAAAAACATTTAAGGGAAATTTTACGGAAGGGCTGTGTGGCTCAGTGGTAAGCACCTGCTCTGCATGCAAAAGGCCTCAGGTTTAATCACCAGGCAGAGCTGGGAGAAACTCTTGCCTGAAGCCTGGAAGAGCAGCTTAGTATCAACAGCACTGAGCTAATGATCTGGCATGATATGACTCAACTACCTATTTAAATCGGCCCCTTAATTTCAAACCATGTGGACTACAGCCTTACTTTATTTAGAGGGGAAAACCAAAGCTCAGTGGTGGACCACATGGTTTACCATGCAAAAAGTCCCAGGTTCAGGCCCCAGTGTGGGAGGGACCCTGGGGAGCTGCTGCCAGCCAGTGTAGACAATACTGAGCTACACCGACCAATGGTCTGAGTAGGTATAAGGTACCTTTTACCTACTAGGAATATCCATGATCTGTAGCAGGGGTAGGCAACCTAAGGCCCGTGGGCCGGATGAGGCCCAATCGATAGAGTCCGGCCCACCACATGGTCTGAAGGACGGTGGACCAGCCCACGGCTGAAAAAGATTGCTGACCCCTGATCTGCAGGCTGCAACAGGACAAGAGGATGGGTTCTGTATGACTGTATACAGCAGAATTGTCTGTGTTCTTGATTTTCATTGTTTAAGGGTAACTAAGGCCACCTAGGTAAAACAACTGTTAGGTTTGGGGAGTAGAGAGAGAAAACTTGCAGACGCAAACTTCTCAGCTCCACTTTGGACTCCAAAATCCCTGTTTGTTCATATCCCAGAAGCACGTGTCCTTACATATTCTTCCTTTAGTTTTAAAAATTAGACACTTTGGGGCAGGGGGGCAAAACCTATAATGCAAATACTTTATTATCAACGAGTGTCCGGTATTAGCTTTTTTTTCTCTCCTGGGTATTACTATTTTTTTTAATATAAAAAACTATACAGCCCAAACATGGCACTACTTCCAATTTTTGCTGTATAATTTTTTTCCTCCTTAAAAACAAACACAACTGTATTGAAAGACCTCTAAGCCAAAGTGCATTTTCCTTTTTTTGTCCATATACACATTGCACCATACATAAATAATTACATTGTAAAAATGACTCCATAATTACAAGTATAATATATATTTTCATATAATATATAAAACTTTATATTAAATCTAGGTAGATGATATTTGGGGATAAGTCTCGTGTCCCGCTCGGCTCTCCTTCTCCTCCTCCTCCTCCAAGGCTGGAGCGGCTATCTGTGGTTGTTGAGCAAAATCTCCAGCCAGCAGGGGCAGGAGGTGATGAACTGTCTGGAGTAGGAAGGGCCCCAGCCTTTTGCAAAGCTGATCCGGACACTGTTAGGGTCAAAAGGTCCGTCAGGGTACCCCAAGTCTGTGGCGTGCTGCAAGAGGCAAGACTTCTCGTAGTCGAAGACCTTGATCGAGTAGCCAGGCATCACTTTGCGCACAATGAGAGTCCGGCAATTGGGAATGTCCAGTGTCGGGGAGTTGATGAAGATGGGGTGCTCGCTGCGGTTGTAGGCCCACACGCCGTCCTGCTCCTTGCTGAGCAAAATCCCATATCCAATCTTACTTCGAGTCCGGCGGACAGTCTCGTTCCTGTTCTCCAGCTGCAGCTGTCCCAGGCAGAAGCCGTTTCCTTGAGGTAGGTCATAGAAGATACTGACGGACTGTTCGTACACGGTGTAGAGGCGCCCGACGCGCGTCCGGTGCTCCCAGTAGGCAACGTTGCACCAATGGCTTTGCTTAATTGCGTCAGGGGACATGCTGGCATCTAAGGAGAAGAGGAGACACAGAAAGGGCTGTTTAGTTTCCAAAGCAGCAAACCTCATGCTGCGTGTCCAACTGGTGTCAGAAGTGGACCTCAAATGCAGCTTATGCCAAATGCACTCGGGATTTTGTGTGTGCGATTTGCAAACCAGTTCAACTGGACTTTCAACAGGGCTGCGTTAGTGACTATCAAAGATTTAGGGCTTAGAAAGGAGCGTCGGGAAAATCCCCCCTCCTCCCCCCCGGTTCCTTTCCCTGCCCCTGTTCCACGGCCCCAGGAAACAGAGGCAGAGCGATAACCCAAGGGTTGCCTCCCGTTGCCCCACTTGCAAAACTGCGCAGCCCAGGAATCGACATCCTTGAAAGGGGCCCTGGAAAGGTGAAGCTGCTTTCAAAACATGTAATCTGGAGAGCTCAGCAGGCTCTTTTCCAAAAAAAAACCATTCGGGGGATTCCAAGGATGACCGTAAAATAAACAGAAAGTCCTCCTGCAAGCACCCTATCTGCGTCAATTCCCTGGCCGCCCCGCCTTTCGCTCGGCTCTTTTCTGCTGCCACAGCTGAACCACACTCAAGTTCTGCACACGCCCAGCATCTCCTGCCTCTCAAGTGCTCAGAGGATTTATTTCCTGACTCTGTTAAGGAGGCTTAAGGCTGCCCACCCCCACCCCAACCCCCCTGTGCCAAACATCGCAGTTCCTAGCTCAGGAAGAGCCACGCAGATAAGTCACAGCATCTCCAGCTAGGACTGAGAAATATCCCTTGCCTGGGAACCCCAGAGAGCTTCTGCCAGTGTAGACAATGCTGAACTAGATGGACTCAGTGAAAGGCAGTTTCTTGTGTTCCTCTGTGTCCAAGAGTCTGCAAGCTTGCAGATGCCACAAGAAGCTTACTCTAGTCAGCAGCGAAAGCTTGGAAGACAGGAGACCTGGCTCCATTAACCAGGTGTGGGTGGAAGTCCAGCACAGAGGTTTCACACGGCTAGCCACTGCGGTGGTCAATATTGCACACATCTTCATAGCCCCAAGACAGCTCAGTCGGAACTTAGAATCATAGAATCATAGAGTTGGAATAGACCACAAGGGCCATTGAGTCCAACCCCCTGCCAAGCAGGAAACACCATCAGAGCACTCCTATAGAATCATAGAGTTGGAATAGACTTAATCATAGGGTCAGGGGTTCAAGCTCCACGTTGGGCAAAAAGGTCCCTGCATTGCAGAGGGTTGGACTAGATGGCCCTTGCAGTCCCTTCCAACTCTACGACTCTACTTTGATTCATTCTTTGCTCCCCATGCTTGCTCTGGAGTGTAGGGGAGCACCTATACTGTTCCAGGGCAGTTACTGTACGTACACAGAATCCCAGGCTCTGTGACCCTCAGCCCCGGGTAATTCAGTTCATAAATGGGATCCCTTTTTTGTTTGTTTTGTTCTTCTTCAAAGAATGGCAGTGTTGGAAGGGTTCCAAGGGATCATCCAGCCAACCCTCTGCAATGCAGGAATCACAGCTAATCCCAAGAGTCTTCAGGCATCCAACCTGGTGGGCACAAGGCTGGCAAAGATTGATTCAAGGCTATTGGTCCTTGGTACCTTCCAGATGCTTTGGACTCTGACTCCCACCAGCTGTCAAGCGCTGACCAAGGCTGATGTGAGGCAGATTCCAAAACATCTGGATGGCACCGGGCTGGACAGAGAGTCTGCCAGAGGGCAGTGGAAGGGCCAAGGCAAGTTCAAGCCACCATGACTCCTCTCGAGTCTCAAAGATTCTCACCCACTGCCGCCAAAGTTCAGTGAAAATCCACAATCCCCGTCACTTTCTTCCCCGACCAAAAGAGCTGGCTGTCGCCTTCTATTCTGCTTCAAACTGCAGTTCAGAAAGAATGCCAGAGATAACCCTGGAGTCTGATAAATATTCCAATCCAAACGTTTTGGAGGATTCCTATGGAAACATTTTCCCGGAACTCTCCAAAATGCTTTCCCTCCTCCTCCAAGGAACTCTGTCAAAGAGATGGGAGCCCCTTCCTTTCTGAAAGCGTCTCCCCTGCCTGTACACCATTACCCTGGCCAAATGGGGCTCTGCCACTTAGCAAATGCCAGGCTTCGATTGGTAAGCAAACAGAGAATCAGAAGGCAAACAATGATTCTCTGCCTGCTCCTGCGTGTGGGGACTGGTCTCTCCAGCTCTGGCCGGACTTGGCTTCACCACTCTGGCTGTGCAGCACCAGGCCAGGATTATCGGTTCAGGGCGGAGCTACGGACCTGGCAAGGAGCTGGTATTCAGCTCCCTGACAATCTATCACGAGACGGCGGCCTCCTGACCCCTCTGCCTTCATACCTTCAAGTCCGATTAACTCGCACACAGGCTGATGCCATCATTTTGCTTGAGAGATTCCATTGACTCACCGGATTTCAAAAACAGGGGCCTAGTGCCCCTGCCCCGCCCCACTCCACACTGCCCCCACCTTCCCCTTTCATTCTCAAATTTCACTGGCAGGGGAAATATAGACCCCGCTTGCCTGGAGAACAATCTCTGGAACTGTGCAGCTTTGTTAAAAGAGAGTTTTAACTTGAGAGTTGTAACTCTACAATTTTAAAAGGGGAGAAAGGGAGGGGGGTGGAGATAATGGTGCTTTCCTCACCTCTCAGCCAGACAATGAAACAGCCTTAATAATCCAGCTGGTGCAAGAAAATGGTTTCATGTTTTGTCAATCAACCAAGCCCTTGGGGATTCTCAAGAGTAGCAGTCGCAGGGGGGGAATGTTCTTCTTCTTTTTTTAAGTGCATACATGAAAACAGCTTTTCTTCTTTGTCTCATTTGCTTGTGTTAATAATTTCCCAATCGTTTGGTAGATCAGTTTGCCCTGAGCCGTGATCCCTTTGACGTGGGATTTATTTGGACAGTTTATGATAAACAAGTGAAGCAACAACAAACAAATGGAACACAAAGAAAAATGGGAAGTGATTTCATGGAGGTGGGGAACTGCAGAAACACAACAAAGCAGGCCTGGTAGCAACTCCCAAAATTAAATGCATTTCAAAGACAGAGGCTTGGGTGACCTAATTGATTTAAAAGACCCGGGTGACCAGAAAGGGTGAACAAAAAGATGAAAAGTTGGCTCCAGGAGAACCTCCCTGCACAGGCTATTCCAACTGGGGTGCCACTGCTGACGGCTGCCCAGCTGGCTACATTTGGTGGGGGCACCGAAAGGTTTGGGTAGCCTAACTATGGCAGAAAGTGACTTTGGCCTGTTACCAACAGCAGTGGTTCTCCAAGTGGGGGGTACTGCTCCCTGAGGGGTGGAGTACTGAGGGGGGGGGCACTGGGGGTGTAAATGGCCACCAAGGCTTCTAAAAGCTGGCATCACTGGACCAAGTTCATCAATGATGTTGGATTAATTCAATTAAATAGTTTTGACTGGATTTTGAATAAATGTGCAATTCACTGCCGCTATTTTGAATGTTATTGTGTTGTTATTTTCCTTAGTGAGTCGTGCAGACCACTATTGTGAATAATGCTTTTTATAGGATACAGCGGCAGACACTGGGGATGGGTTTAAGGAACCAAGCATTTGAGAACCACAGGCTTTAAATGAGATAAAGCCAGCACTTTAAAATGATGAGCTGGAAAGAGACAGAGGTGGTGATGGGGAGAGAGCAGAGCTGGCGAAGCACAGGTGCTACAAGGTCGACCCACTTAATCTCACATCCATGCTCTGGACCCCTTGCAGTCTCCGGACCTTTCTTAAAGGCTGCTCCATGTATAATGCAACAGTCTAAACGGGACGTTATCAGAACATGGGGAATAGGAGCCAAGGTATCACCATGCAGGTAAGATGACAGCTTGCAGATCAGCTGATAAAAGCCACGTTGAGCCACAGAGGTCACTTGAGTTACTAATTCCGTTGCTGTATCAATAAACACCTCAAGATGGCAAAGCCAATGTTTTTGGGGGGAGTGCAACCCCCATCTAGGACAGGCTGCTCACCTGTATATGTGCATATATATACGTCTCTCAGTGTGCATGTGTTGATAGATATAATTGTGGAATCTAGAGGTAATAAAAATGTATTCTTTCTAGGAGGAAGGAAAACAAAAGCACCTCAGATTTTCCAGTTTTCCAAAGGAGGTGTCCCTTTGAGACCCGGCACTTAGCCTCCGCTCTGAGGGGAAGGATTCGAAAACCCGAAGGCAGCTTAATTGCCCAACCTTGTGGAGGAAGATGCAGTTCCTGTTGAACTCTGAAACCCATTCAAGGGAAATAACATTGACTGGAGGGATGGGGTGGGGGCGGCGGAAGAGACATGGATGTCACGTAACTTAGGGCTTCCAGCCAGACCCCTGGAACTCAGCCACCTGCCTCCAACCGGTTTGCTTGGGCTCAGAAAGCAACAAGTGGCTTTGTGGTCCTTGCAAAAAATTCCACGGGCAACTTCCTTGTGGGGGGAAAAGGATGTCATTCAGAGTCACCTGATAATAAATGCTGAGCCCATTGGCAAAAAAGGGGCTTCTCTCCACTTTGACAAACGGCAGTCTGTTCATCCCTGAAAACCGTGCAGGATATAAGGGCTGCTTGCAACCTGCCTGGAATAAGACAACTCCCTCTGGCAACTGACATGAAGATCTGGGATGAAGGACATGACTTCCCAGTGTTGTGTAGTTGCTACAGCACTCTACTAGGACCAGAGTTTATATCTGCACTCTGCCATGAAGCTCACTGGCTGGTTTCGGGCCGGACACCCGCTCTCAACCTAACCCACCAATATAGATGGCATTAAAGGAAGTTTAGGGACACGGGTGGTGCTGTAGGTTAAACCACAGAGCCAAGGACTTGCCGATGAGAAGGTCGGTGGTTCGAAACCCCGCAACGGGGTGAGCTCGCATTGCTTGGTCCCTGCTCCTGCCAACCTAGAAGTTCGAAAGCACGCCAAAGTCAAAGTGCAAGTAGATAAATAGGTACCGCTCTGGCAGGAAGGTAAACGGCGTTTCCGTGCGCTGCTCTGGTTCGCCA